TAAAACAACAACAACAACAACAGAAACGAAAGTGAGAGAGAGAGAGAGAGAGAGAGAGAGAGAGAGAGAGAGAGAGAGAGTAAATTCTATCAAAATTGAAGAATTGTCGTCATTATTTCATTTCATTTTTTATTTTTTATTTTTTCAATGGAAAAATATTTCAGCAATTTTCCTTCCAATATTGTTGTTGTTGTTGGAAAATTTCTTCTTTTTTTGTTTTTTCCGAAAATTTTTTTTTCTATGTTATTTATGGAACAAAAAACAAAAGCTAAAATTATTACACAATATACATCATTATTGTGTAATGGGAAAAAATGAAGCGTAAAAGTTTTTTAGTTTTTTTTTCTCCTTTTTTTGGTTTGGAAGGGGTTATTTTCATTTTACACTTGATATTTTTCAATGAAAAAATTTTTCAGTCAACTTTTTTTTAGAAAAAAATATATGATAATGGCCCAAATACACACGAAGATTGCATATTTCAACTTTTTTTTGGCAAAAAAAAACTAGAAAAACGAAAATCAAATGAACCCAATAAACACACATACTGGGTAAACCAAAAAGTAAACAACAATTTTTTTTTTATTTTGAAAAATGATTGAATAAAATACATTCAGGTCAAAATAGATGTTCATCATTTGATGATGTTTGATGTTGTTGTTGATGATGATGGAAAATAACCGGCCCAAAATTCCCGGTTATTCTAAGTGACAAAAGAAATTCTTCGTCAACCAGGAAAAAAAATCATCATTATGTAATAATGATCTAGGCGTATAGCATCCAGAATATAGCGTGTAACCAAAAAAAAAAGAAAAAAAAAAGAAGAACGCCTGGAGTGTGATGATGGAATTGATGCGTTTGATGATGATGATGATGATGACAAATAACCCGGTTTGAAGAAAGAAAGAAAAAAAAAGAATTTATGGGATGCCTGCATCAATATGTCATCATTATCGTCATCAACATCATCATCGACATCATCAACGGGCAATTGATTCATTTTTTCTGGTGACATTTTCAAAGAAAGTTTTCGGAAAGTTGTGTTTGTGTGTGTTTGATGTTTTTTGTTGTTGTTTGATGTTTGATTGTGTTGTCATCGCCGTCGCTGTCTCTGCCGACAATAACAATCAAAAGTTTCCAATTCCAATATTGACATGACATGATCATCATCATTCAATTCAAACAGAATTTTCCAGCAAAAAACGAAAGAAAGAAACTAACTATTATGTAATCCTGTAAAAAAATACAAACATTTTCATTTTGCAATGAAATTGGCAAAAAAAAAATACGGATTCCCGATGGAATGCATGCATGTTTGTGTGTACGTGAATGGTCAATAGAAAAAACAAAAAAAAGAAGAAAAAACATTTCATGAAGATAACATGATTGAAATATATCGAGTGAATATTATCAACAAAAAAAACATTTGAAACAAAGCAATGGAGAAATTAAATTGAAATTTTCTGTGGAAAAAAAAATCAAAATTTCATTTAAATTTTGATCAAAATGGGAATTGAAAAAATTTCATTTCAATTTCATCCAAGTTTTTTATCGTTTTAGGCAGTTGATAATTTCCCTTCCTACTCACTCTATAGGTGTTATCATTTATAAATTGAAATTAAAAATTTTTTAAAAACAAAAATTTTTCAGGCGTTACTATCATCACACACTCCGTGATGATTATGCAATGCATTTTTTTCACTACATTTGGAAATGAAAACTTTTTATGTTATCGAAATGTTATCAGCCTGGATCGAATGAAAAAAAAACCACAAACAACAAGGGATGAAAAACAAGAACTTTTTTTCCCACCACTACACTACTAAGCTGTATCATCATTTGATGTTTTTGTTTTTCTCGGTAAAATTCTCCAAAATTTGAAACCTCTAAGCCACCTTGTTGTTCTCATTTCCACGCACCGAGAGAGAATTACAAACTGGTAAATAGTATTATCGGAATGTTTTCACAATTTGCAAGAATATTCTGTGTGTTTGGCTTCATTCAAACACTATGATCATCAACAACCAAACATTATTGATAATCAAACAACCTCGAGCAACAACCATGATGACAACAACAACAACAACAACAACAACATTGGGTATTAAAAAACTGCAAATTCTTTGTTTTTTCTCTCTTTTTTCGTTCATTTCACCGAAAATAATGATCAATTTTTTTCATTTCCCTATGTGTTTGTTGTTGTGCAAAAGACCAAAAGAAACAAAAAATTGTTGGCCGAAAACAACAACAATATTTCATGATCAATGATGATGACCGAAATAGAATCTGGACAACCAAAAACATAAATTGAAAATCAATAACCTTTTCGTCTCTCTCTCTCTCTCTTGCATTTTCACTGGATTGTCAACAACAACAACAACAACAGAATTGGTGATGACCAATGCAGAAAACAAAACAAAACAAAAAAGAAAAATATTCTGGCGACACATTTTTACAATTCTGATTCGATTTCTTTTGTCTGTGTGTGTGTGCGTTTCACTGTGTGCTGGACAGAAATTCAATTTCAACTATTTTTACCAACAATCAAATCACAGTGAAAATAGGGCCGGAATCAACAAAAAAAAAATCGAAATCGAAATCGATGACAAGGCCAGGCAAGCAGTAAAAAAAACCCAAAAGTAATGATTTTTTTTTCTCTTTCTCAAGCATCTCATTTTCAACAGAGATCCAGGCAAACCAAACACCACCAACGATAATTAATTGATCAAACTTTTTTCTTTTTTTTTCTTCTTCGTTCTTCTTCTTCATTCTTTTCTGTTGTAAATAATGAACACTATTCGATTACAATGAACCACACACACACACACACAGAAGATCTATTCGATATAATGATAGTGTTTAAGTAATCAAAGCTTATTATTATTAAATAAAGTGTTTAGATGATGATGATGAAATTATCATTAAAGTTTTTTTTTAGAAAAAAATTCTGATCTCAAATATCAACAAAGAGAAAAAATAGAAAAAAAAATCAAAAAGAAAGGTAAAATAAGGTAATTTTTTTGGGAAAGTTTTCTGAAATTTTTGAGGAAGTTTTGCCAAGAAAATTGCCAAGAAAAATAGGATAAAAAAAACTTACTAGTTGAATTGATTTGATGAAATTGTTGAAATATTATTATTATGAATAACAAAAAAAATAACCATAATGATGATAATAGAAAACTTGTTGTTTCAATGGTTATTTGTGGTCGTTGTTGTTGTCGTCGTCGTCGTCGTCGAAAATGATTCGGATGTGAATGTTGATGATAATGATTGAAATTTTTAACCGTTTTTTTCATTATTAAAATAATTAGGCACTTAAATTGAAGCTTTTTATCATTTAGGAATATTTTTTGTTGTTGTTGTTGTTGACCAACATTATGATGTGAATGATAATAACCGGATAAAATTGATGATGCCGGTAATGATGATGATGATTTGATGCGGTTATAATGATCCGATGATGATAATGGTGAATAATGAGAAAGAATTGAATCTAAATGTATAGTTTTGTTGTTGTTGTTGTTGTAAACATTAAATTGATATTCTTGTTGATTCATTTGGTAAACGTGAATTTTAGATTTATAGATTTTCTTTGTTTTTTTTTGTCTTTAGCGAAAATTGATTGATAAATAAATGATGAGAACTAATCGAATGAGAAAATTGAAATCAATTTGTCTCTTTTTGGATAACGGAAAAAACAAAACAAAACGAAATGAATGTTGATTGAGTAATGAGAATTGTTTATAATTATTTCTCGGGAATATTCTTCGTTGTTGATGATGATGATTTCGGTTTCAGAATTTCATTTAGAAACAGCAACACACACATTACACACACACACCAAATGACATTTAGAATAATGTCGTTTTTCGTAAGAATAAATTCAAACAGAGAGAGAATTATTCTTGTTGTTTTTTTTATTGTTTGTTTGGTTGTTTGGTTGGTTGGTTGATTTCTTTGTAATTTTGCTTGTTTTTGGTGATGATATGGGTCACACCATAGACAACAGAAACAAAAGAAATAAACGATTATAAACGAAACAAAACAGAAACAGAATGTGAAATTAATCTAGGATTCTTTCTTCATCTTCTTGGTCGTTGTCGTTCGGCAAGAACATCTTTCAGCAAAGTCCATACATTTTAAACACAGTGTCTTTTTGTAGTTTCAATGAGTTTCATCATCAGTCTTTTTTTGTTTTTGTTGAAACAACAACAATAATCATTCGAGCACTAAAAATGTCTTAAAGATCAGTTGTTTTTGGATTGTTGTTGTTGATGATGATGATGATCATCAACATCATGATCATCATCCGAATCCATTGCCCAAGAATAACATCATGTTGATGATGATGATGATGATCATCTTCATTACTTTTTTTTTGTTTTGTTTGTCAAGTTTTTCTGTTGTTATGTTTGTAACTGCTGCTGTTATGTTTGTAACTGAAAATACTGAAAATTAATGAATGAATGAATGAATGAATGATAATTTTCTGATGTTTTTTGGTTTGTTTCACTGATTAACAATCCAGAGAATAAAATATAATTGTGGTTCGCTTGTTACGTTATTTATTTCATTTGTTCAATAAAACATTGTTTACATTTGAAATAATAAAGAATCGAATGATTATAATGAGAAAATAAAGATTCAGAATTTATTCACAGTTTTGTATTTACAGAATAATTTTATTTGTCGGAAAAAAATTATGAATTTTAAATTTAATCAATTTTTTGAAGAAAAAAATCGTTGCTTGAAAATCACATTTGATGTCTTTGATTCGATTCGATTCGATTTGAAAAAGTTCAAAGTGGATTTTTTTTTGTGGATTGATTATCATTTGTGAACATCACAAGATCGATTCATTTGAACATTTACAAATCGATTTTCCGGTCGGATCATGGTCGATGTTGTTGTTTTTCGTTTCGGGATGGAAAA